CCTCCTAACTGTACACGCCGTTGGCACTCATTGCATTCCCCTCCACTCTCATCTTCCGATCAATCATCATCATCATCATCATCATCATCATCATATGGAGAGCTACTACGGATACTCATACAACAAGCCGAGCATGCTAAGCTAAGTGGGACGCATCCCTTCATCATCACCAGCAGCAGCAGCGGCAGCACGATCGTCATCATCGTCATCATCAGCAGCAGCAGCATGATCTCACCATCCCCATTATAATCATGATCTCCTCCTTCATCATCATATTCTTCATCATCATCACGATCATCATTAGCAGCAGCAGAAGCAGAAGCCGAAGCAGCAGTAGCCGCGGTGATCAACTCAAGGGGTGTCCAGAGGGGTCCAGAGGCATCACAATCATCATTAGCAGCAGCAGAAGCAGAAGCAGAAGCAGAAGCAGAAGCAGAAGCAGCAGTAGCCGCAGTGATCAACTCAAGGGGGGTCCAGAGGGGTCCAGAGGGGTCCAGAGGGGTCAATGGTGGCGAGATCGCCACGTGGGCATCCCGATTAGAAATCGACGTCAACCGACAGGCTCTCGAACCATAACTCGACAGACCGCACGTGTCATGAAGATGGACTGGAATTGATCAATTAATCAATAGAGGGAGGGCGAAGATTGCTTTTTTTTTCGTTGTTTTAACTCACCGTCTTCTCTTCTTGTCCCGAACAAATGAACTCGCTAGGAAAAGGGAGCTGTTTGTCCTCTTTCTCCTCCTCCTCCTCCTCCTCCTCCTCCTCCTCCTGCTGCTGCTGCTGCTGCTGCTGCTGACTCCCCCCTCTCGTTGCTTGTCTTTGCCTTTGTCCTTCTCCCTCCTTCACCACTTTCGGACTAGATTCTCTGCATGAAGATCATCCCAAAATTTGGCCCGGCCATTGCCGCGGCCCGTGTCCGACTTCCGGGGGACACGTTGAGCACCATCCCGATCTGGACATCCCATCCCATCGGGACACGTTGAGACATAGTACTCGAACGAGGAAGAAATCCCAGCTACCGTCTTCATCCGAATAGAACGGCCCATGATTTCATTATAGCTGTATTTGGGGCAACTTTTAGTCCAGATGCGCGGATAAGGACCGGGCGTTCTATTCGGGTGAACACGGTACTGGGACTCGGCGGCCCCTGGTCTCCCGCCGTCGGTCATCAGCGGCCGGTCGGTCGGTCGGAAGCGGACATCAGGGCAGGAGGGAGAGAGGGGGGCGGGAGGGCGGCGGAGTGGGTAACGTGGGCCAGTGGAAAGGGCAGCTACGTGCACTGCCAACACGATCGGCCTTCAAAAAAAAAAAAAAAAAAAACACGATCGGCCTCCCCGACCGAAACACAGCATCAACATGAACGAACACAAGCGATCTTTCCTGGCTTTTTTTTGTTTTTTTTTTTTTGTTTTTTTTTTTTTTTTTTTTTTTTTTGGGAAAAAGCAAGGAATCCATGCTTTGTAAGATAAGGGACCAGACCGTTGCACATTTCGAGAGTAGTGCAGCGAGGCCCATATGGTACTTCAAGATACGCAGAATCCTCGACAGACTGGCCGATGATGCTGAGCTCGACTGGGTGGTCTGCCCACTTTTTGTAAGGGACGCCGGGCCCGTTTCCCGGATTTTATAACGATG